GAGAGAGAGAGAGAGAGAGAGAGAGAGAGAGAGAGAGAGAGAGAGAGAGAGAGAGAGAGAGAGAGAGGGAGAGAGAGAAGTGAGAGGCGAAAGAAGTAGCGCGAGAGGGAGAGAGGGAAGGAAAGAGGAGAACGAAATTGAGATAGAGCGAGAGAGAGAATAGAGGGTGGAGATGCCGCTACTGATGATGACGACGACGACGACGACGACGACGACGACGACGACGACGGCGGCGACGACGATGACGATGATGTTAGCGACGACGATGGCGATAGCTAGGTGATGCTGAATGTTAAGCCCCTGCTAATCACACTACATGCTCTGCCCCCATATATAGGTTATCTGGTTATCTACCCACAGAAGCACATCTCATACCCACCGACAGCTGACCACGTGCACGTTGACAGGCAGGCAGACGAACGTGGACCTGCAAGCGTCCGTGGTAGCCACGTGAACGCTCTGGCATCGCGGTTGCTTACCGCCAACCAGTCGCGGCTACCGAATTCCCGTCTCCGAGAAACGCGGCCATACGTCGAAAGAATACGTCGAAAGAACGTGTCGAAAGAACAACGCGTGTGTGTGTTGATGTTGGTTCGGGAGCCTGGTCGGACTATCCTCGGATAGCTACAAGATACTGTCATACGTCGAAAGAACGTGTCGAAAGAACAGCGCGCGCGCGTGTGTGTGTGTATTGACGTTGGTTCGGTAGCCTGGTCGGACTATCCTAGGATAGCTACAAGAAACTGTCATACGTCGAAAGAACGTGTCGAAAGAACATCGCGCGTGTGTGTGTGTGTATTGACGTTGGTTCGGTATCCTGGTCGGACTACCCTGGGCTAGCTCCAAGAAACGGTCACACGTCGAAAGACCGTGTATTGATGTTCGTACTTAAGACTGTTTGGGCAAGCTCTAGGTCAGTAGGGCTAACCAAAGGGCAAACATCCCGTTAAACATCGACTCTTCCGTAGAAACATGAGCTAGGATAGCGTGGTGCTACCTACCTACACCCACGCGCGGGAGTTGTACTGCTAGTCTTCTTCTGATTTTAACAAGAATGTACTGAATCCGTGCTGCTAGTGCCTGTATATATATATTTATATACTTGGTTGGCGTCTACATGGAATCTACACAGCACCAGCCAGCTATATTTAGAAGCGTCTAACGCGCGTCTAGGACCTCTCGCAGACGCTAGAGATATCTACAGCTGCAGCTAGCGGCAGGTTCGTCTGCGTCGGTGACGTCACGGTTTTTGCGTTCTCCCGCTCGTAACCATGGCACCGGTGCTGGTGGATGACGTCATCACACTGCTCGGCACGGGCCGAACGCAGTGCACCGTTTTCGTGCTGCTCAGCCTGATGTCACTTCCGGCGGCCTGGGTCGTCATGTCCGGTACGTTCACGGCCGTCGTGCCGCCGTACGAATGCGAACAATGGACGCTCGCCGACGCGGCGGGGGCGCCACTGTCGCGCGACGACGTAGCGCGCGCGAACGCGACGCGCGGCGACGCTGCTGCTGACCCCTACCGGTGGTGGAATTCGTCGGCGAGTGACCAGTGCTCGCGAGAGGGCGCTAACGGCAGCGTGTACGCATGCGCGCTGTGGTCTTATGAGGAGATAGAACAACCGTCTATCGTCGCCGAGGTACGTAGAGAGAGGAGGGGAGGGGGAGAGGGAGAGGGGAGAGAGGATGGGGAGAGGGGAGGAGAAGAGAGCGGGCAGAGAGGTATGTAGAGAGAGGAGGGGAGGGGAGAGGGAGAGAGGAGAGGGACGAGAATGGGGCAGAGCGGCAGAGAGCTATTTAGACGAGAGGAGGAGCTGGGGGCGGATGAGGGAGGGGAGTTAAGAAGGGGAGGAGAAGAGAAGCGGGCCAGAGACGGTTATGTCTAGTATGAGAGGAGGGGGAGAGGGGGAGGGGAGGAGGGAGAGGGAGGAGAGGGAGAGGCAGAAGGGAGGGAGAAGGAGAGGAGAAGAGAGCGGGCAAGAGAGGTTTACGAGAAAGAGGAGGGAGGGGAGAGGGAAGAGTGGGAGAGGGAGAAGAGGGGGAGAAGGGGAGGCAGAAGAAGAGCGGGCAGGAGTAGTAGAGGAGAGGAGGATGCAGGGAACAGGGAAGCGGGAGGAGGAAAGAGGAGGGAAGAAAGGGAGGGGAAGAACGGGCAGAGAGAAGAGAGCGGGCAGAGAGGTATGTAGAGAGAGGAGGGGAGGGGGGAGATGGGGAGGGGAGAGGGAGAAGGAAGGGAGAATGGAGAGAATGAGAGCGGCAGAGAGTATGATTAGTCAGAGAGAAAAGGGGACGAACGCGGAGGGGCGAGAGGGAGGGAAGGAGGCGGCGAGAAAGGAGGTAGAAGGGTGAGGAGAGAGAGCGGACAGTAGAGGTAGTAAAGAGAGGAGGCGGAGGCGGGAAATGGACGGGGAGAGGGAGAGAGGAGGCGGAAAGAAAGGAGGGAAGAATGGAGGAGAAGGAGAGCTGGCAGAGAGGTATAGTAGAGAGAGGCAGGGGAAGGGGAGAGGGGGGAGGGGGGAGGTAGAGCGAGGAGGAGACGGGTGAGGGAGAGAGGAAGAGAAGAAGCGGTCAGAGAGTATGTAGAGAGAGGAGGGGAGGGCGAGGGCGAGAGGGAGAGAGAAGGGGCGGAGGGGCGAGATGAGAATAGGGAGGAGAAAGAGAGCGGGCAAGAAGGTATGTAGAGAGAGGATGGGAGGGGAAGGGAGGGGCTGAGCGAGAGAGAGCGGGCAGAGAGGTATGTGGAGAGAGGAGGAGAGAGGAGAAAATAGAGGAGAAGAGAGAGAACCGACCCGAGAGAGAGAGAGAGAGAGAAGATATCAACTTGATCGACGAAGCGCGCAGAGAGAGAGAGCAGAGAGAGAAAGAGCCAGGAGTGAGCCAGCACGCGTGAGAAAGAGAAGAGCCGAGAGAGAGAAGAGAAGAGAGAGAGAGAGAAAAGAATATATATATATACTATATATATATATATATATATAATATATAATATAGTATTAGTAGTAGTAGTAGTAGTTAGTTAGTATAGTAGTAGTAGTAGTAGTTAGTCAGAGTAGTAGTTACTGAGTGACTAGCATTAATATGTTGATAAACGGGCGAAAATAACCGGTAGTGAGTTAATGGGAGTGGTCACGTGTCTGTTTTGCTGCTCGATTATGGTGTGCCATAACATAATAATAAAGTATACTGTAGAGTAAGGATAATATTGCAAAATAATATCAATAAAATTTGCCAGAAATACTTACAGCACATATGCGATGGCATGACACAGCGTCTTGTGACTATTTAGACAAGTCTGCCCCATACGAAAATGAACGTGAGGTGCGAAAATCAGGATATAGTTGCTGCTGCATTGCGGTACATTCCCACGTCACCCATACGACGTGTTGCATCGCGTTCCAAATGCGGACATTACTTCGCGCCACAATAAGCAGCAACACAATCAGCCTTCAAACATACTATTTAAGCGGAATATGACACGACGAAAATTTGAAGGTAAACGATGACTAGGACACACACACCACACACACACACACACACACACATACAACACCACACACACATCAACACACACACACACACACACACACACAACCACACACGCGCGCACACACACACACACACACACACACACCACACACACACGCCGCGCGCGCCACACACACACACAGCAACACATCACCACACAACGATACACACATACACACACACACACACACACCACACACAGCACACACACACATCACACACACCACACACACACACAGCACACAACACACACACATACACACACGTTGCGCATAAAACGATGACCTTCTATATAAAACGCTGTATTTGCATCAGGCGTCTATCTATCAAACAGTTATTTTGTAGCCCAACAATCTATTTGTTCAACTAAAACGCTCGCAAATAGACGCTTCATGATACGGGGACATCAAATATGCGTAAACATTCATTATGAAAGTTGGAATACGCCTATTGTTTGACTAGGCGAATTGCTATTTATTTTTGGGTCAACCAATAATGCGCCTGGTCAAACAACGTAAGACTTATCTGTGCCAGTTGGAAAGTGTTATTCCGCGGATAAAATCCTACATCGAGTAACGCGCTGTCAGCCTCTTTAATGTATTTCTGTATACGTACACTACAGGGAAAAACAATCCAATCAATATCTAGTTTGTAGCATTATTAAAGTTATTGTTATATTTATATACCCACCCCACATACACTCACGACACACACACGCCGCATACACACGCACACAACACATATAGTAGGCATCTACAGGGACTACTAGTAGGCTATCTAGCAGTATTATAGTAGGCTATCTACAGGTATATAGTAGGCCCCTATCTACAGTATATAGTAGGGCATCTACACGCTGTATATAGTAGGCTATCTACAGGTATATAGTAGGCTATTCTACAGGTATATAGTAGCAAATCTACAGTAAATATAGTAGGCATCTACAGTATATAGTAGACTATCTACAGGTATTAGTAGTAGACTATCTACACGGTATATAGTTAGAACAATCTGTAGCATTCTACAGGTATATAGCGTAGGACTATCTGCAGTATATAGTAGACCATTCTACAGGTATATAGTAGACATTCTACAGGTATATATAGGCCTATCTACAGGTATAGAGTAGACTATCTACAGGTATTATAGTAGACATCTACAGGTATATAGTAGGCTATCCTACAGGTATATAGTACGCGCCTATCTACAGTTATGTAGATAGGCTATCTACACGGTATATAGTATAAGGCCTACTACAGGGTATATAAGATAGAACATCTACAGATATATTGAGTAAACTATCTACAGGTATATAGCTAGGACATCTACAAGTATATAGTAGCGCCCTATTTACAGGTATATAGTAGCTATCTACAGTTACTGTAGTTAGCTATCTACAGGTTATATAGTATAGGCATATTCTACAGGTCATATAGTAGACATCTACAGGTATATATAGTAAGAACTATCACAGTATTATAGTAGACATCTACAGGCTATATAGTAGGCTATCTACATGTATAGAGATTAGACTATCTACAGGTATATAGCTAGGCTATCTACAGGTATACGCAGTAGACTACTCTACAGGGATACTATAGTAGACTATCTACAAGGTATATAGTAGGCCTATACAGGTAATATAGTAAGGCTATCTACAGCCCGTTATATAGTAGCACTATCTACAGCCGTTATATAGTAGGCCTTATCTACAGGTATATTAGTAGCTATCTTACAGGTTTAAACCTTTTTATTAAATCAAGGGTGTGAGGCTATCTACAGGCTATATAGTAGACGTATCTACAGGGTATTATCAGTAGGACTATCTACAGGTATATAGTAGACATTCTACAGGTATATAGTAGGCTATCTACAGGTAATAGTAGGCTATCTACAGGTATATAGTAGGCTATCTACAGGTATATAGTAGACTATCTACAGGTATATAGTAGGCTATCTACAGGTATATAGTAGGCTATCTACAGGTATATAGTAGGCTATCTACAGGTATATAGTAGACTATCTACAGTATAGAGCAATACAGACTAATCTCAGGTATATAGTAGGGCATATCTACAGGTTATATAGTAGGCTATCTAACAGATATTATAGTACGGCTATCTACAGGTTATAGAGTAGAACTTATCTGGACAGGTATATAGTAGGCTTTCTACAAGCTATATAGTAGGCAATCTACAGGTATTATAGATAGGGCTATCTACAGGTATATAGTAGGCTAATCTACAGTATATAGTTAGGCTATCTACAGGTATATAGTTAGAACTATCTACAGGTATGATTAGTAGACTGTCTACAGGGTATATAGAGTAGACTATCTACATTTATATTAGATAGACGTATCTACAAGGTATATAGTCAGGCTCGTCTACAGGTATATAGTAGGCTATCTACAGTATATAGTTAGACTTCTACAGTGTATAAGAGAAGACATACTACAGGTATTATAGTAGCTATCTACAGGTCATTATAGTAGGCTATCTAACAGGTATTATAGTAGGCTATCTAACACAGGTATATAGTAGACTATTTACAGGTATATTATAGTAGGCTATCTACAGGTATATAGTAGGCTATCTACAGGTATATAGAAGGCTATCTACAGGTATATAGTAGGCTTACTTCTAACAGGTATATAGAAGACTTATCTACAGGCTATAGAGTAGACTATCTACAGGTATACTAGTAGCGCTATCTACAGCGTATATAGTAGGCTATCTACAGGTATATAGTAGGCTATCACAGAGTATAGTAGGCTAATCTACAGGTATATTAGTAGGGCTAATCTATACAGGCTATATTAGTAGGCTATTACAGGTATATAGTAGGCTAATCTAGCAGTATATAGTAGGCTATCATACAGGTACTATAGTATATATATATTTATATAGTAGGCTATCTACACGTATATAGTAGGTATCTACAGGTTATAATAGTAGACTAAACTATAGTAGGCTATCTACAGTATATAGTAGACTATCTACCAGGTAGAGAGTTAGTAGACTATCTACAGTAATAGAGTAGACTATCTACAGTATATAGTAGACTATCTACAGTATATAGTAGGCCCCTATCTACATGTATAATAGTAGGCCTTTCTACACGGTATATAGTTAGACTATCTACAGGTATATAGTTAGGCTTCTACAGCGTATATAGGTTTAGACTAATCTACAGGTACTATAGTAGGCCCTATCTACACGGTATATAGTTAGCGCTATCTACAGGTATATAGATAGACTATCTACAGGTATAGAGAAGACATCTACAGGTACTATAGTAGGCTATCTACAGGTTATATAGATAGACTATCTACAGGTATATTAGTAGGCCTATCTACAGGTATATAGTTGGCATCTACAGGCATAGAGAAGACATCTACATGTAAGACATTTTACGTCGTTACCTTTTACGTCGGCAGTGGGACCTCGTCTGCGACCGCGCCGTGCTCTGTCAGGTGTCGTCGGCCGTCGTCATGGCCGGATGCATGGCCGGATCGCTCGTCTGCCCGTTCCTGTCGGACAGCTACGGACGTCGGCCAACAACGATCGTCTTCACGTGGCTGTTTTTGGCGCTAGGGGTCGCTAATGCGTTCGTTGACAGCTACACGGGATACGTCGTCGTGCGCGGGTTCCTGGTGGCAGCAGTGCAGGCGAGTGAGTGAACGATCGTAATGATGACGGGATGACGATCGGTGGCGGTATTGCATGATAGATGTATGCAGAATGGTAAGAATTATGATGATGCTGTAAACATGACTTCATTTTGATGACTCCCCTCACTTCTCTCTCCCCTCCTTCTTCATCTCACGCTCTCTCTCTCTCTATCTCTCATCTTTCTGATCTCTGATCTCTCTCTCTCTCTCCCCTCTCTCTTCTCTCTCTCTCTCTTGCCTCTACTCTCTCCCTCTCACCACGCACACGATCACACACACTTTCTCTCTCTCTTTTCTCTCTCTCATCTCTCTCTCTTCTCTTCTCTCTCTCCTATCTCTCTCTTTCTTTCTCTCTCTCTCTCTCTCTCTCTTCTCCTCTCTCTCTCCCTTTTCTCTTCTCTCTCTCTCTCATCTCTTCTCGTCTCTCTCATCGGGCTCTCTCTCTTCCTCGTCTTTCTTCTATTCAGTACTATACACATTATTAGTTTATATCAATACTCTCGCTCTCCGCTCTTTCTCTCTCTCTTGCTCTCTCTCTCTTATTTTAATACTCTTTCATTTTCTTTCTTTCTCCCTCTCTCTCCTCTCTCCCCTCTCTCTCTCCCCTCTTTTTCTCTTTCCTTCTCTTTCTCTCTTTCTCTCTCCGCTCTTTCTCTCTCTCACACACACTTTCTTCCCTCTCGCTCCCCCTCTCTCCTCGCTCTCTCTCTCTCTCTCGTCTCTCTCTCTCTCTCTCTCTCTCTCTCTAGTATATATATATATATACTATAATATATAATATATATATGATATTTAATCTTCTATTACATTATCATTACCGAAACGGCACGGTAAGCAGTCACACCGAATCCATATCATATCATAGGCCGACCAAAAATCGAGATAACAGTACAGGTCCTACACAAAAAATTCTACACCAGGGACATAGAGTACGTTGAAAAGCAGTAAAATAAAAATCCTGGACGCCTCGCGTACATACAAGTGATTATAGTCAGTTAGACGTGCACCAGGGCGGAGGTGGGAGGGGGGGGCGCGCGTCGTAAAGCGTGTTTTTATGGGAACTGTTGATCGTTGCTTGCTTGTGTGTGTCGTGGGGGGCGGCCGGCGAGGTGCGCGCGCGCGTTGGTATATTACTAATATATATTAATATTATTATATAACTATATATATGTGTGTGTGTGTGGTGTGGTCCGTGTGTGTGATCGAGCGCTGTGTGTGTTGTGTGTGTGTGTGTGTGTGTTGTGTGTATGTACTGTGATGTATGTGGTTGTATATGTGTTGCCGTGGTATGTGATATTACGTATATAATTATATAATATAATATATATGTGTGCTGTTGTGTGTAGTGTGTGTGTGCACGAACGTGATTGTGTGTGTGTGCGTGGTGTTGTGTGGGCACTCCTGTGATGTGACACTTCTACTCTATATTATCAAGAAGTGCATAATAGAGAGCATTCGCGTGCATAATTAGGAGTGCTATAAATAGAGTGCATAATAGAGTGCATATCTCATTATGCACTCTGATTATTATGACACTCCTGCTAACATAATGCTCTTGATGTATTCGGTCCGGATGATGTCTCGACTGTTGTTGACATAGTTGCGTATGCGTATACGTTGACGTAGTTGCGTGAACCTTGTTGCACAATAGACATTATTATGTGATGTTGATGATAGAAATGAACAAGAGCTAATCATTGTATTGATACAATGTACTATTAGCCTATATCATCTGTATTGTATACAAATTGTACTATAGCTAAATCCATTGTATTGATACAGATGTACTATTAGCTGACATCATTGTATGTGATTACAAGTAATATAGTAACTCAGTGCATAATACAATGTAAAATTATTAGCTAATCATTGTTTTGATACAATGTACTATTAGACCACTTAATCAATTCTATTGATACAAAGTAAATATTAGCTAATTATTGTCATTGAATACAATGATCTATTAGCTAATCATTGTATTGATACAATGTACTATAGCTAAATAATCTGTATTGAGTACAATGTACTGGATTAGCTAAGCATTGTATTGATACAGAGGTGTTACTACTTATGCTAATCACTGTATGATACAAGTGATCAATATTAGCTAATCATTGTATTGATACAATGTACTATTAGCTAATCATTGTATTGATACAATGTACTATTAGCTAATCATTGTATTGATACAATGTAATATTAGCTAATCATTGTATTAATACAATGTAATATTAGCTAATCATTGTTTTGATACAATGTACTATTAGCTAATCATTGTATTGATACAATGTAATATTAGCTAATAATTGTATTGATACAGTGTACTATTAGCTAATTATTGTATTGATACAATGTACTATTAGCTAATCATTGTATTGATACAATGTACTATTAGCTAATAATTGTATTGATACAGTGTACTATTAGCTAATTATTGTATTGATACAATGTATTATTAGCTAATCATTGTATTGATACAATCTACTATTAGCTAATCATTGTATTGATACAATGTACTATTAGCTCTTGATGTATTCGGTGATGTCGCGACGTTAATTAACTTTAATTTTTAATAATGTTTTTTTAATCTAATAGCGCCCCCTGATTGCGAGGATGTTATGATACACGGTGGTGGCGGTGACTGCTAACCCAGCAAGTTGAGTTGGTCTGTGTCCAATATCAGGTGTTGCGTATATAGTGTACTGAAGCGTAGAATGTACCAGCCTGCGTGCGTGCCGGCGTGTGTGCGTGCGTGCCGGCGTGTGTGCGTACGTGCGTGCGCCAACCGTTGTTATTAAAGTTTACTGTATAATACTTTTGTATTACACACGCGCGCGTACCCCCGCACGCACTCACGCATGAAAGCACAAACTCACACATACACACAATTATATATAGAGCGAGAAGTGGGAAGAGGGAGCGAGAGCAAGATAGCGCGCGCGACACACACACACACGCACGCACACACACACACACACACACACACACACACACACACACACACACACACACACACACACACACACACACACACACACACACAC